TAATGCAACTTTTTGTATTCTGTCAAAGAAACTTTTTCATCCTCAATAGTAGAACATACGCGCAGACCAAAAGCACGCCGATGGGTTGTCCAATTTCTATTCTAATCGCAGAACTGGTCTTAATGGAGCTGGAAAAAGTCGCCTTCAATCAATGCGAACCTGCATTCTAGTGCTCGTATGTGGACAACACTTTCGTTATAATCGAACGGTGCAGGCTGGCAGACTTCCAAAACCTGCTTAGCGGCATCTTCACGGTATCCACTTCACAAGGGAAGAAGATAATACCGAAATACTGCCTTTTGTGGACGTCCTCGTCACGCACAGACCCAAATGGGGAACTCGGCAGCACGGTTTCTATAATGACGTCTAACACGACTCAGGTGTTCAATTCCATAGCAACCACCCAATAGCGTATAAACGCGGCTGTATTAGAGCACTCTTTCAGAGGGTAAAAACACACGGCATGGATCCTTAGGAAAGTGTGTGTGAGAACAACGGCATCTTCGGGACCAACTGGCAAGAAATGGAAAGCCGAACAGGATCGTCAACCGCTGCCTCCGTACGCGCCAACGGCAAAAAAACGAAAGAGAGCCACCAACACTCTGGCGCTATCTACCGTTCATATAAAATGCGTCAGAAGCAATTGGACGTATCGCAACAGAGCTCGGCGTAGGTATTACTCATCGGCCGACGTTCATGGACGTTCACGGGTCATGCAAATAAAAGACCCACTGGGGGTAGGTGAGCAGTCTGAAGTCGTTTATCAAGTGCCATGTCGCGACTGTTTTTGGCATTATACAGGGCAGACCGGACGACGTCTTAGCTCGCGAATAACGGAGCACAGGCGGGCAGTGCGGAGAGGCGACCCACTGTACCGGATCGCTACCCACACTCCGGAAGAAGGCCACAAATTCAACTTCACGGGCACGTGGATAATGGCCCGCGCCGCTAATAAGACGGGACAAAAACTACTGGAGGCCTGGGCGTCAGACGCCAACTCCATCAACAGGCATGTGGATATACCGCCCTTTTATTTTGTCCTCCATTCGTGCGACTAAGAGGCACCGACCAGTTCGTGTCCAGGCGCACAAGCTGTCAAGCTAAGGACGCAAGATATGGTGCCAAGGCGGCACGCCATAACGACACGGATGCGCGTAGAAACAATACGGTGAGACGGCGTGAGAGTGGACCAATAACAAATGTTTCCTCACCCCCCCGCCCCATTTGCTCGTAGATGGACTACAAAAACATGTCAGCACTTGCTGTTCTTTCATTTTCTCTGACGATGGCCCATTGTGTGAAACCGGAAGCTCAGACTTATACAATTACCGTCCAAATGATCGCGCGATTGTCTTCTTTACAACAAGAACCTGAGGCACGCATATTATCTTCAGTCCGTAGATTAGTTGGTTAAGCATTATCTCCAATGACCCACTGGTTGTCGACAGATCTCTCAAGTGGTCTTGCCATGACACAGAGGCGGTCGTTGACCGCAGGAAAAGTGAAAAATGGCAATTTAGTTTCCCCTGGTCACTGCAAGTGAAACCATCCCTATAAGTAGTCACTCGTTGTGAAGATTGACGGTTCCTGCTGTCCTGAAAGTGCTCCAGGTGACATAGTTCCGTGCATGCAACTGTCGTAACACACATAAGTGCTGTCGCATATGTTGCAACCAAGGCGGCCGTTCCAGAGACGAATGTGCTTAAATGCGAACCGACTGGAAATTTACAAGGAGAGATACCCACTTCAAGATCGAAGACTTTAAATAGCTCACCTCGCGCAAGCATCCCGTCGCAGGGCTTTTCAAACTTCTTCATGTATTCGGGCACCGGAATGAGACCCTCAAGCGTGCTGACCTCAGCGAAGTAACTCAAATCAGCTGTAAGAAACAGACAAAGGGCATAAAAGTAGTCGCTTTGAGTTTTAGAAAAAGACGAAAAATTCACACAAATGTAATTCAGACTCATGCGAAAAGGTACTCCAGCAAGGTACTCAATTGATTGTACATTCGATTTAGCAATCGGACTGGAAAAAAACCTGGCTATTTTAAGGTCATTTATTTCGGATGTTCTGACGACTGTTAA